ATATATATATATATATATATATATATATATATAAAAATGTTTATTTAAAAACAAGAAAAAATAAATTTAATTAATAATATTTTAATTGTAATAAAGAAATATGAATTTTAGGTACTTAAATAACAGATATCTTTTCTGATAATAAAAATATATATGCTATAATAAAAATTTATATGCAAGTACAAAACCAAAATTAATTAATCGATTAATTCTAAGAAACTTGAGAATAAATAACGAGTAAGAAATTAAGATGAAATACATAGAATTTATTAAAATTATGAAAAAACGCTAAAGAAACATTTTGTGAATTTTACTTAATTCTTAAATTTTTTTTATTTTGTCCATGTTTCATATCGTATTAACAATTAAAGATTACATAAATTTCGAAATGAATCCTTATCTTTATCGTGTTCTTTCAAAGTTTTAATACATTATATATATTTTATCTTAAGCTCTCGTTTGTTATTTGGTTCTTATTTATTCTCAAGTTTACATATGTCTCAAGTTTACATATGTATCTTATTTGACGCGAGACCTGTCTCTTGATAAACATTTCTGACATACTTATTATGAAAATGTTTTAGCATTTAGCAATTAATGATAGAGATTTAACATTTAGATAAAGAGTATAGTTATTACAAGATATGAATAATCTAGCCGCGCGTAAGAAACATTTATAGAAAATCGGATATTCAGATACATCTACTACATACCGTAATTTTTAACACTGCGAAAGTTCATAAAATATGTATACGAGATAAGGCCAACGCTTATTATATCGCTAATTATATCAACGAGGTGCATCGACAGCCACGCGCATTAGCCTTGATTATCCAGCAATCAAAAAGAGAAGAGGGAGCTTACTTTGTATTTGCATTTGATTACGTATTCGTGCCTGCCTGTTCGTGATGGAATACATTCTAGCTGAAGGCGTTGCAACTTTTCCGGAAATGTTTACGATTCAAGAGCAATAAGCGCAAATACTAACCCTAAGTAATTGCGTTCGAGAGAGCACTTCTCGCGCATAGAGGAAGGAAACTGAACAGCCAACCAACGCGGCCTTGCGATACAGAGGTGTAGCATAGTATGAGCATAGTAAGAAAGAAATACGCAGGCATAGGCATAGGTGAGGTGGTTGCATGCAAGCTAACTCGCAAACCTAATTCTTCTCTTAACTTTTTGACTTTTTTTAAAAAAAAAAAAAAAAAGTAAAAGAAATATAATCAGAAGTAATACGCTACACTTTTTAAATCCAACAATATTATTAATGTGTAATCACATTGTATATAAAATGCATCTTCAATATAAAAAGATATTTTCAATGCAAACGTTTTGGTAAAAAGCATTTTTGCAATATTAAAGGGCGACATTTAAAAATGTCGAGATTTAGAATTTTTATAAAGTCACATTTATTGTAAATTTTATAGCACAGATTCCTTCTTACTTGTCGTACAATTTATGTTTTAAAAACATATTATAATAATTATAATAATAATAATAATAATAATAATAATAGTAATAGTAAAATAATAAATGTAAATATATATGAAATTAATGTTTAGCGTTGCAAAAGCAGTGAAATGCAGAATTCGAATTTAATTTTTATTAAAAATTTAAAACTTCTTCCTACGCCATTGAACGCAACGGTGCAGCAAAGCTGCATCGAGCCGCGGGCCGGTTTGAAAGCCAACATTTAATTTACGTTCTACGTGCAGGAATGATGCTCTCATCATTTTTCGACGCCAACGATCCGTTAAAATGGTTGCGAAGCGGTGCGAAGAAGAATGATTGAAGACTAGATCCTGGTGGCAAGCATAATATCAACAAGGAAGTATCCGGAAGTAAAAAAAAAATGTTGAATTCTTATAATAAATTAAAGTATCTCAACACGAACACGCAATTATTAATTATGGCGTAGTAGGGATTAGAGAAAGGCCGAAAGTAATCTTAAGACAATCTGATACGTCAACGCGTTAATTCTATAAAAAATAAAATTTAAGGGCTTGCAATTTGCTTTCATGCAATCTTACATTAATCTTACGTTAATGCGATGCATTAATCTTTAATACATTACAACGGAACAAAACTACGCGACTATCACGCGAACAATATTGTTGCGAATGGCGGAGGTTAATTCAAGTTGGTTTCCTGATCTCGGTGACCAGGCAATAATGGTTAATTATCGCCGTAAAAAAATCGAAAAGAGCCATCGAAGGCGACCACCGACCGCGTAATTACAGTTATTTCGATGCGGCACGATCTTCAAGCTGCACAACAATGAAATGCTTATAATTCATTGTTGTTTCACGTTTCATTATACGCGTGAGTAATGACGGAAAGACGGCAGGAAATAAATCAAACGCGCGATATTTACGAGCGCATATATAAAATAAATCTCTAAAACAGTTTGGAATTTATAATTCTTCTATTAACTCAATATATCCTCGTAAATTCCTTCAGAATATTTTTTTGATACTTATTATATTCTCTAAATATATTTTTCTTATCTATAAGTGATTCCGATTTCTTATTACAGATTCTGTACCTCTCCTAAATAAGATTGACCACAAAACATGTTTTATCAAAAAAGATGTTGAGACATTAATTAAGTAGTTTTTGAATTATAAAAAAGTATGGAAATTTTGAATCGTTATTTAATTAACTGTAAACTAAGATTTTTTTCTTCAGAATGAAAGAGAGAGAGAGAGAGAGAGAGAGAGAGAGAGAGAGAGAGAGAGAGTAGAAAGTACTATTCTTACATGTTTTATGGTGTTGATACTACAGGGAGAAAAATCAAAACATATTTTCTCGTTAAGTTTTCCTACTGCATATACACACCGCATATCACTGCCGTTATATCTGATAAGCAAGGAAATATACGTATGCGTATTTCTACAAAATGAGGACACACCACGAAATGGGAGCACTAATAAAATTTAGCCCACTTATGCAGTCAGCGTGCATTAACCTCTCCATCGGTACATGCTCCTGATACATATTATTACCTGAGCAGAACTAAGTATCATAAAGTAATTCTCATCAATGCGGAAACCCAGGCCTATGGCGAGCCATGTTTTATATATAGTTTCTTTGGCGCCACGCTGAGACACCACGTACCTTTCTATTAAATTACATATTTTCTTCTTCATCGACCAATCATCATTTACATCTAATCAATATTACTAACTAATGTTTTATCAACACTTTTGACACTTTCCTCATATACATTTTAAATATATAATATTTTCGTTCTTATTTTATCTTTGTTATATGCATCTTTTGCAATATTTCGATAATAAATGGATATTACTTTTTGTTTTATAGGAGGTGTTGCTGGCACACAGCAAAGTCACCGCCCACTGCGAGCCTATCACGGTGATTCTGGCCGAGGTGGAGGCACCGGAACTCGCGGCTCTTCTCGGCTTCGTCTACACCGGAAGCGCCACGGTTCCGCGAATGCGATTGGACGCGTTTCTACGCGCTGCCGAAGCTCTGCGCATCCGACTTCCGTCGGTGCCACCGGTATGCGGCGGACAGACAGACTGTAAATCAGAGGATGTCAAGGACGTCAAAGTTAGCCCTAAGTACTTGCAGTGCGACCAGTATCCTTGGTACCAATCGAAGAGACGGTCCTACGAAGATCCGTTTGACAGAAAAGAGTCTTGCGCTAGGATATTCCCTACAGACGTCAACAGAAATGTCTTCAGAGACATCAGAACGCTGCACGAAGTCGGTAATCCTGGCCCGTCATTTGGTCCTAGTTGCCCAAGCGCGTGGCCAATCGGAGGTTTCTTGCATCAGGATAGAACGACGGGTGATCCTCCCGCGGACAAGGATCATGGCTCCGTGATACTTGCTGATAAGAATCCAGTGATAGCTCCCAGTGACGAATCGTCCTTCAGTATGTACCAACGAGGCACGTGTCTCCCTAGAGAACCACCTTCTTCGGAAGGATACGCTGCTCCAGATACCGTGGAAAGGATCGGGACAGGATACGAGAGGTTGCACATGAGTTGCTCAACGGAGAAGCTGATGATGAACGAGGACGTCTTCGCGGGCGGATCGAGAGGCGAGTCTTGCGGAACAACGCGGGACGAGTGTCCTTACCAGAGCCCGATGCCGTTGCCATCGTCCTTGCAATGCGCCACCCCCGCCAGCCCCGCCACCGTCGCCGCCACCGTTACCGGTCAGACGAGGTCGTTTGAGGTGCCAGATTATGCGGGCTCCCAGACTTCAGCGGGCGAGGATCTCAGCTGTGGCGAAAGTTGTTGTAGGTGGAGAATTGCTCGCAGGCACGTGGCGAATCGTGTCACCGCGTCGCCATGGCGCCAGATTGTCAGGCCCCATCATTCACCGAGGCTCCCGCGACCCGTCCCCATAGCCCAACGTCACGCCGATGACGTGAGTACTCCGCAGGTAAATATTAGCCCACGTGTTTGCTTTAAAATCGTCGATCGAAAATCCGGCTCCAATTCGATTGAGATTTCGAAATAATTTAATTTTTAAATTTTTACGTATCTGAAAAGGTGTACGATATATTTTATGGAATTATTTAAAATGGAAAATACAAAAAAACAGGCCACTGTCATTTAGATCACAGATTTATTTATTTAAACTAAAGGAATTGATCGAAGTAGCATTGATGGAAATAGCATTTGGGAAGAATCATTGCGCTATAAATTTAAATAATAAAGCATTTAAGCTTTTCAGAAAAGTTCCTAAAATTTTTCTTGCATCGTCTTTTTATAATTTTATTTTTACTCTAGATAATTGATAAAGAATGATATAAAATTATTAATATTTTCGACGCTTTCTCTTATATATAAAATTCTAAAAGTCGCATTTAAAAAATAATACAAAAAAAGTTTAGCGGCGATTTAGAACTTGAATCAAAAATTATTTTGATATGCATAAATAAATAGAAATATGCTTTAGAAATGTAACTAAGAAATAATGATAAAAAGTTCAATATTTTTATAAGTTAATTTTAATTACTCAAGATTATTACTTTAATGTTTCATGGCGATGTAGAGATTAGTTGTTCGGTAAATAAAAAATTTATTTATTTTGTATCATCACTCGCTTGTTTTTACTCTTAATTAATTTTGTTTATAAAGTAACTAATCCTTGTTACTTGCATTAAAACTGTATATAAATTATCTTAAATACTTAGAATGTTATATAAAACAATTAAGATTTTTGTCATTATCTCTTAATTCTATTAGAGTACACTTTTAATTTATATTTACATAATTTTTGATCCAGGTTTTAAACCGCCGCAAATTTTTTTGTATCACTTTTAAATGCGGTCTAGAATAATTTGTAACTTTTGTTTTAATGTTTTCTTCAAAGTATCGAAGAATTAGAAGTCCTTTTTAAATAATTGATCCGTTATTCTGGGATGCATTTTATTACGGTACAAGAGATTTTATTCCAGTCCGATACTTCCAATCGCGAAAAACACACGACACCGTTGAAAAACAGGAAAGAACGTAGGCTGTGCAGACTTGATTACGATGCCAGATACGATTTTGGCGTACCTGTCGAAATCCCGTTGCCAGGGAATCCGTATTCCCACGTATGCACGAAAAGAATCACCATTATGGGAATTATGCCAAGGTGAATAACACTGAACGACACGATCGGGCAAACGCGTTTTCGTCCAATCGATGAAAAAAAAAAAACTGGTACGTGCTAAGCGATGAAAAAAACAGACCCGACCCAGGATTTCGTGAATAATTTAAGGAGACCTAATTAGGTATTCATGAAGAATAAATTTAACTTATGCGATAATATATTATAGTAAACGAGCGTGGATAAAAAAAATGAGAAAGTAAACACGAATAAATGCTATAATAAATTTACATGTTTATCTATCTTTCTTTAAACAATTTCATAGATATGAAATATTTCTCATGCAAAATATATTATATTAATATTAATAATATTACGTATATACTTGATGCGCACTTTAAGGGAGATTAATATATTTTATTTTCTTTCGTGAATTTACGTAAAAATAAATTACGAAAAATAGCATATTATATACATAACGACCTTTTCGTTGTAATTTGCGTTGTAATTTTCCACTGCGGATTTAAAAGGAATCGCGATTGATTGCGGCTCATGGCGTCGAACCAGCCAATTCCTGTAAAATGATCAGGCAAAGATAAACCGTTACACCCTTAATTACCACGGCAGAAACGAGACACTTTAAACACCACGCGGATGCGCTCGATATGTCATCGTCATGGCGAGATTAACGAGAGAAAATGGTTTCAATATCCTGACCTGTCTCTATAAATCGTAGTAACGACGAAGTTAATTGAATAGAAACTGCGGTCACCGCATCACGAATCCAGTGGCATTGATACTTTTGTCATTGCAATTAATTAATGTAGAAGCACAGAATGGTTGTTTAGCACTTGTTCCGTTTTTATATTTATTTATCAGCTTATAATCTATGAAGATTTGTGTCTATCTTTAGATGTTTAACACAAATCACAAACTTTTGCTTATTTCTTCTTATGAATAGGCTACTATTTAATATTTAATTTAATAAAATGTGTGTAAATAAAAATTTTAGGATTTACTTTAAAAAAATTTAAATAAAAATGCAAATATAACTACAGTTAATTGAAGCAAGTTATTTTTTTATACTTGTCACATTATATTTATATTGTATATTCATGTTATGTTTTTAACATTGATAATTTAAAAATTAAATATTATATTTTATTATATATAAACTTAAATAAATGTAACAAACTAATATCGTATTGATATTATACGATTATAAAATATCATGCTGTTTTTCTTTTTATGTCTCTTTGATTTATGTCTCTATTTTTTTTTTATGTCTTTTTGATTCTATCTTTATTTGAATTGGCGTAGTATACCCGTAAGGTATACTAATTATAAGCGACATATAAGCGAAATTAGTTATTTATTGAATTAGTTATTTGTCTATTTTCAGCCATTATTGGAACTATATATGTTGAAATAAAATGAACGATCTCATGAATAAATAAAGATAGGCAAAAGACAGGTAACATGAAGGCTCGATTTACATAGTTAATTCTTCAATAATTTACATAGTTAATTCTTTCTGTCACCATAACAAATTTGCTTTTTCATACTTTGCCTCTGCTTGCTTCAGAGAATTATGAAATAACATTGAACTCTCCGACATTTATCGAAGGAGAACTGTTATTACACATTTGCTTCTACAGATTCCAAATATGATAAAACGAAACAAAAAAAAAAAGAAAAAAAAGAAAAACAGGAAAGCATTTGCATTTGCTGTAAAAGAGATTACGATATTCATTAGATTAAATTATTTCTTATGCACGACACATTGAGGAGAGTTAATTGAAATCGGTAAACGCTGAGCGAATACGAAGGCGGACACCGGAAGACTCGTGTTCTCCATTTGTTCGCCTGCTCGCTCCGCTACGCGTACACGTACATTACGCTTCTTTCGACAAGGTGACGTAGGGCGCCGTATCCAGCTGCGTTGTCGTCCCTTCACTTCGCGGGTTCGATTCGTTGCTGTTTCCGCCGTTCTTAACGCGGACTGTCAGTTAGCGCACCTCCGGCCGCGTTTATCAGAGACCGCCAATGCCGTGATTGCGCATCGCCAGCTGGCGCGATGCCAGCTGCGCGCGAGTCCATCGTATTGTTATGTTATTACGCACGCGATCTGGAAACTGGGTTTTCTCTTTCGACGACGAGAGATCTGCGTGCCAGATTTCGTGGACCGTCGCGCGACCTGTCGCGGCGACCGTCCGTCTTGCGTAAGCAGCCGGTTTCCCGCAGCCTGCGCCAAGATCAGCGGAGATTTCAATTCAGAATTCAGCGCGATACGAGCTCGCATTCGTAGTTTTCGTCATCATCATCATCATCATCATCATCCCGATTTTCACACTAGAATTGACACATTATTCTTATACGAATTCTATAACACGAATATATTTCACATATCGATGGTACATACGTGGTACACACGTGTATACGTTATCCTTTTATTTTTAGCTGCAAAAAGGTGTATCATTATCTATATTATGTACGGAGTGTTTTTCCACAATAAAAAAAATGTGATAAATTTTTCTTTTTATATCCTTATTTATTGTAACATAATATTATTTCAATATTGTTATTATAATAAATTATTTATAATAAATATTATTGCATTTTAATTTTTATAATATTATTTATTATTTATTATGATTATTGTAATTATTATTAATCATTAATCATTAGATATTATTAATTGACATAATCGAATTGATATGTCGAGCTTGGGAAAGAGTAACAATTGGTGAGAGCCAATATGAAAGTGTGAAAATTATGATCCGGAGTTTTGAATTCCACGCGTAGCCTTTGATCTTGGTAGCCGTTAAAATCTAAAGAATGCGCAAAAATATTACGATAATCGATATGATACTTTCGACATATAATCCTATCTCATTTCAATCTCGGCGATTTATATTCGGCTTCCGTTGGACGCAAGTGCAATTATTAAAATGTGAATAATATGCACTTTAACAATTTGCTTTTCTTACCACGTGATGAAATGTAGAAAAATTGAATTCTTATTATCGCATTCAAATGGTTAATAACATTAAATCGATACAATGTAAGTACTTTCTAATTGCTACTTTCTTCTGTTTCTTCTATCTGCTAATTATGCAGATGCATTCCTAGGCATTGCTGCGCTATGGGCGGTTTAGTTAGCATTAGAGATGGGAAACCGTCGACTGTTATGTCGACTTGACCGGACGTGACGTTTAGAAACTGTTTCTTAATGCCTGAATAAATTTACAATGCATGATTATTCTTCCTCTGTAGAATGAAAATCGGAGTTTAAAGTTATTTTTTTTTTTTTTTTGAAAAAAAGAAGAAAACATAAATCTCTTGGAAATATTTATCATTACATTCCGTTCTGTTACAACGAACGTTTGCAATGAATCTGAGCAATAAATTACTAAATAAATTAAAATAATAAATAATATATTACGTGCGCCCGCTATTGAGAATCGAAATTTCTTTCCTCCGCAAAAGTATTAAAACTTTGTAAATTAAAAAAAGAATCGCTATTGTTGCAAATTTCGAATATATTTTCGAGAGTGTTAGACAATTCTCCACGTGATTTGTGATACCTTGACATTTCGGCGTCGCTTCTAAGTCAAGCACATGGAGTTGACTGCTTAAAACCGACCGTGACTAAAAGTGTTGTAAAACAGTAAAACGACGTTTAAATCTAGACATCACTTTCTAGCTCATTGAAACGCGTCGACCGATGCACCATGACGATTTCGATTCTTCACGCGAATACGCCACGCTATTCCTCAAGATTAATGAAACATGGTTAAGTTTAACTTGATCAGTTGTGTCTTTCTATCGATGAGTGTTCAATTCCGCAATAGGTACGCTAAACGCGCGAAGAATATATAGCTGCATTCTAGAAAAATTATACACGATTATAATGTTTTATTTATGATGATTAATGTAAAGTCTGGCTGTTTTGATATAAAAGTAAATTTAAACTATATTTGCCAAAATTTGCTTAAATATATTTAAATTTTTAAATATTGTTTTAATAAATTGTTGACAATCATACAAAATTAAAATTCTTATTCGACCTTAGAATTCGCAGAGAATTCAAGCTTTTATAAATATAGTACATATTTTATTACTACATTTTCTCTATTAAAGTCACATACAGGGTTTTGTGTTTAGTAAACGTAATTTTTTGTGCTGTGATTAAATCATCTGACTGTTTCATAAACAAAATAATAAATAGGTAATTTAAAAAAATAATAATATAATAAATATATATTAATAAATACAATAAATATAATAAAAATAAAAATAAAAAAAGATAGAAATAATAAACTTGTTTCATGATTAATTTTAAAAGAAACACTCTAATTTCTCTTTAATTTCTCATTTTCTTACTTAAAATTAATTTATTTCTAAGGAAAAAAGTAATTATATATAAAAAAAAAAATTGACTTTAATGGCTGTTGCAGGAAATTCATAAAAAGCTTCCGACTCCGGAACCAACTCGATCCTCAGTAATATCGATGAGCCCGAAGAATATCATTTATTCCCCGAGAAACGCACTGCGAAGCGACGGACCTTGCTCTGGGGCTTTCGAAGTTCCTAACAGTTGCGAGACGAGCTTTAATAATGACTCGAGTTTATCGCGCGACATAATCAGTGGATCGGAGACGAGTATTCAAGAGATCTATCGACCTCCGCTCCCATTCACATCTCCCAATCAGACCTCGCCGCCCGCGAACGCGGTGAGAAACAACGAGCAATCCGTCTTCCAAAACGTCGGCAATGCACCTACGCAATCGCCGTCCACGAGCAACGACAGCGTTATCGCGAGTGCCGGATGCAAAAATATCGGCGGATATCCGACGCAGACGTTGGTACCGCAAACGCCGACCAAACCCGAACTGTCACATCCGATCAGTAGACTTTGCGACACGATCGACGTTGACGAGAGGAAAGAGACATTAAGGGCGGAAACGGCAAGCGCCGAGAAGAATGAAGAAGAGAGAGTCGCGAGGATTTTTGTTAACAGCGATAACAACAACAACAACGAGACGATCGTAGGCACGGAGGTGGCCCAGCCCAGGGGACGTTCTGCGGACGATCACAGGTGCGATCAATGCGGGAAGACCTTCGTCACGAGAGCGTCGCTCAAGGTACGCCTCTTAACTGATCAAGTCGGATATTAATATTCCAAAGGCTACGCACAATTTCAATTTTCGAGACAAAAAGTAGATCTCTGTAATGATCTCGATTCGAAGATTAGAAACAGAGATTTTGCCTGACAGATTTAACACAGAGTGCTAACTCTGTTTAGCATAGATCCTTGATCACCTTGGATTACACAACTTCTAATCCAAACTGTTCAGACCCAGACCAGTTTCTCACTGATGATTTTCCCCAGGCATGATGTTCCATAAGTCACTGCGCAAATTACAACCTATTCTTTTTCTCTCTCTCTCTCTTTTTCTTTTTTTTTTTTGACTAATGTTGGATATCGCGAGTCTCTAATTTGCAGAGTTTCACAGAGGTTGAGCGTCAGTTACGTTAGAATTAATGTCAGTTAAATTACCGTCCTTCCTTGCCGACTACACATGCCTGGCATAAGCAGGCGCTTTATACGCGATATGTGCGGACGCTCTCATGCCTCGTATCGAACACGAAGTGCGAGATTGATGTCCCTAACTCGTTCCACATGCCTACTTTTCTTCCCTTTAACTTTTTTTTTTTTTTTTTTTTGAGGCTCCATGGGCCGTTAAACAACTAACTCTGTTACATTCGCCATTCGCCATTCGCGCTCCACTGCCGATCACGAAGGAGAAACGAGGCACGATCACGAGAGACACAAAGAGCACGCACACGGCACGCGGCCTACGTACTAATCTTGTCCTTTTTTATCCTTCGTCTTCGGCCGCGTGGCGGCCTCGTAAATTAGCCTAGCTAACTACGTCGCCATGTCTGTGTGTGATCGCCACAGGTGCACAGCCGAACGCACTCCGGTGAAAAGCCGTTCCGCTGCGCCGACTGTGGCAAGCAGTTTTCGCAGCTGCGCAATTACAAGTACCATCGCAGCGTGCACGAGGGCACGCGGGAGTTCGCCGCCACTTGTCCGGAATGCGGCAAGTACTTCAACGACCGCGGCTACCTGAGCTCGCATATGAAGATCCATCGGAACCGCAAGGAGTACGGCTGCGCGGAATGCGGGAAGAGCTTCAATCAGCGAGTGGCCTACAACATGCACGTGCGCATACACACGGGCGTGAAGCCGCACCAGTGCGACCAGTGCGGAAAGGCGTTCTCGCGGAAGATGCTGCTCAAGCAGCACCTGAGGACCCATTCCGGCGAGCGGCCGTACCAATGCCAGGTCTGCCAGAAAGCGTTCGCCGACCGCTCCAACATGACCCTGCACACCAGGCTTCACTCCGGCCTGAAGCCCTACCAGTGCACCCTGTGCTCGAAGGCTTTCACCAAGAAGCATCACCTCAAGACGCACCTCAACTACCACACCGGCACCAAACCGTACTCCTGCGCCAATTGCGGCGGCAGGTTCTCGCAGAGTAGCAATATGAGGACCCACTTCAAAAAGTGCATCGTCAACAATGCCGCCGGGGCCGGGAATCCGGCAAAGTCCGGTGACGAAGCCGGCGTCGAGCGGGCCGACGCCGAAAGTAGCTTGGCGCCGCAGGTGGTCCTGACCCCGCCCAACTCCGATCAGGAATCCAGCATTCTGACCCCGATCTCGAAAAATGCGACCGCGACAGAGAATAATACGTAATAATACGGCTCCTTTGTCTTTAAAGTTCTTTTTCTTCTTAAAAAAATAGATTAGAGAAGTTAGGATAAGGGATAAATGAAAATATTGTTCCGGCGTTCAAACGACGATCATCATCTGTAATGTTCGGCAGATATTTGATATTGAAAATAATAATATATGAATAATAGATATGAATATACTGGACGGTAACAAGTCGATCGGAAGTACGGACTGTTGATTTTGCGTTAGTACACACTTGTAAAGAGCTTTCGAGACAAAGTGCATTTACATTTGTATTAGCAAGATAGAATTGCAAAATTACCAGTAAAATTTGCTTCAGATTAGCATTAAAAAATACGCAGCTTATTTCCGAACAATCTAATATTAGTTAGTTGCGTGAGATTGAAATATCTCCATGTGGTGCAATAGTCATTGCATTGTGCCTTTCAGTTCCTGTATTTATTGAACTAACTCTCGTTGTACATGTAGAACTTCATATTCGAATCTAGCACTCAACAATTTGGAGTGAAATTTAATTGAATTTTTATTATAAAAAAAAAAATTAAATTTTTATAGAAGGCATTTTCCAATTTGGCATAATTAATCTGTTTTAATTTGGTAATTTCCAAAAATGTATTATATATTATAATAATTTTTTCCTATATACCCACAATTTGAAAAGTATTAAATTGAAAAGATATTATCTTCTAAAATCTTTAATTGAAGGCTTGAAACTTTAGAAAACTTAATTCTCAGATTCTTGATTCTTTCATTTAATTCAAAATATTACAAATCTTTTATTTTCGATTTTTAATTTAAAATTAGATAATTCAAGTGCATTATAAAATAGCAAGAAGCATAATTATTAAAAAAAACCTAATATTATTTATTACTAATGGCTTGAAAAACTGAAATTCCAGTTTTAGAAATTAAAAATTTCTGTTCTCCTTCTGACATACGTTCAATCACCATGGCGATCCTTTGTTCTCATGCTAAAACTAATTCAAAGAATATTTCGCTCTTTTATTGCCAGATGGTTAAGAGTTTCAACCGAAACTGCAACCTGTAATTGCAACATAGTAAGCCCAATTGTCGGTTGCAACACGGCAATTGCAAATACAAATCGAAATGTTCGCAGCCATTTGTAGGAAGTATCTCCCCGTATTCGAAAATAACGTCGTCGGAGTAACTCCGTAGAGCAACGGAGCTTCCATATCAGCACGAATAGAAGTGTTGTAACAACCTTTTCTAGGAAATATCCCTATGGCAGCATTTAAGGATTTGTTTCTGAAACAACTTTGCCTGAAGCAACTAAGGAGTTTTCTCAGAAGTCTAAAAACTATTACAGTGCGTTAAACATCGCGGATAATTTAAGGAAAAAGACACACAGAATTTAATCCTAGAAATTATCTTTTTTCTTTTTTTTTTAAATTAAACATTAAGTGATACAAATAAACGATGTAAATCGAGAATCTAGAAAATTTAAGCTCCGAGAAAGATCTAAAGGTATAAAGGTCTTTGAAATCTGATTGCGAAAAAAAAAAAAGATAAAAGTTATAAATTTTCTTTTTTATTTTAATCACTCCAGCAAAAGAATATGAAAAGGAAAATAATTTGAAAATAAACTGAATACGTTAGGCGAGATAATAAGTTGCGGATTAAGACTATTGTTAAGTAGAATAAAAATCATTTGCTAGCAATACGTTTTCCTATTTTACAATGTGCTTTATATGTATAAAATCAAGGTGTTTTTAACATCGATATGTAAATATTCAATAAAGAATACGCTGCAGTATCTCGCTTCGAAAGAATACGTTTTTTA